GTTGTGTTATCGGATCATTTATTTTGATTCGAAAAGTGGCATCGGTGTACATTAGCCTTATCCAACGAATGAACTTCTGTCCAAATCCAAAACTCCGTAACACCTCAAAGAGGTAACGGTGATTGACTGGGTCAAAAGCCTTTCCTTGATCCCATAAAATGATACCTAGTGGCTCGCGGTTCCTTACGTAGTGCTCAGTAATTGACCTGATTAAGTGCACATTATCTTGGATTGTTCTACCTGGGATCAAGCAAATTTGGTCAGGGTGAACTATTGTGCTTACTACAGCTCGTAGTCTGTTGCTGACCACTTTCGAGAGTATCTTGTATATTAAATATGATTAGCATGTGATTTACCTGTTGATGAAACAAAATTTGATTTTAAATACGAATATATTTAGGATAAATTTGGTACATATGATTTAGCTTTAAACCCTTCAACATGTTTACATGATGAAATCGGAATCATAGATTATCTAACTGAAAGACTATGCATGAAGTTAGAGGTAATGATATAGAAATTGAAATAGCAAACTATCGTGTTATCCTTGTTCGTTATATATTGAAAAATTAAATGAAAAACACAGTTGAAATTTTGTGTTGCAGCTTTAACTTATGGAATGATTTATCCCAAATAGACGTTTAGAAATAATGACGATGAGAGTATAAAAAAATCACATTAATGATTGATTATGTATATTAATTAAAAAGAACTAGAAGACTTCGAATGAAATCATCGAAAAAAAGTGGTGACAGTGATAAGCAAGGAACAGCTGTAGACCATAATAATGTCGATAAAAAATATATGCATCAATCGATCAGTACATGTACAGAACATTAATAGGTTTCGAGAGCTCCTATTTTAATGTACGAGAAACTTTCATTTTTTGTGCTGCCATTTGTTCTCTCTCTGTATATTGAAAAATAAAATTTTATTGTTTTATTTAGCGACTGTCGCTTTTTTATTCACACATAAATAATAAGGTTTTCAGTATCGTTCTAAAAACGTGTTTCTAAATAATTACGTTTGATACAATCAATGTTAAAGATTAAATATGTATCAATTATGCCTTCTTCATATAATGTTCTGTACGATACAAGTTATCGGCTGCGTGTTTGTAGTCAAGAGTAGACAATGTACAAATAGCTTTTTCAGCAGAGATATAAAATCAGTTATTTTTAAGAGCTAAACAGTTTTGTATTTGGACATAATTTTCTTTCATTTCTTCGTACGATTGATCGAAAAATGATTTTGCTTCACATATTTTAATCATAGCATTATGTGCTGATAAATTTTCTTCATTATTATCATCGACAAGATGCGTTATTAAACTTGTAAAATACAATAAATATCTAGCTGATTCATCTGAACATGATTCTAAATATTTACGTTTGATACAATCGTTAACGATTTTCAATGGACAATCAATTAATTTATACTGTTTGATGAAACCTTGCATTGTAATTGCACAACACCATATTATACATGAATTATCGTGTAGATTTTCATTTTCTGTTAATACTTCGATAATTGCATCAAAACGTCTAAATTGATTTGTATTCCAGTAATATTCTTCACATATTTTAATCATATTTAGTAAATCATTTTTGATCAAAAGACATTTTTCGCTAAGTTTTTTTAGATGTTCATCATTCAGATGATCAATAAGATTCATTTCAGGTATAAAATAATGATTTAAACATTTTTTTTCAAAACATGTTATGGCGTAATCGATGAAATCAATAAAACGATCATATAATGTTTCATATGTCCATTGTTCTTTTCCTATTGATTCACATAACCAATATAATATTGTTTTTAAATAGTAAGTACATATTACTTTGGATAATTCTAAATCTTGTTTAATATGTACATCAACTAGAGCTTTAACAATTAAATAACATTTTTTTTGATAAAAACTTAGTGTTTTAGCTAATAATGATTCACCTATTGAAAATGATAATCTCCATTCTATTGTTTCTGTTTCACTGGTTGTTAATGGATGTGATTTTCCTACCACATGACAACCAAATTTAACGATTGAATTGATTAAATTTTGGTCTGGCCACTTACTTAGTCTTGTACGATTAATCCAGTTTAGCGCTGATTTAGGCCAATGTATACATTTTAATGATGGAACATGATCCGTTGCTAATGGTAAAGTTGGATCTTTTGATGTTATACAAATAGATGGACCATGAATTTCTAACTTTTCTTCATAGCTTTCACCTTTAGGCCATAGAACTTTAAACCAGTTTACAAAGTTCGCTGATAGTAAATACTTTCGATGTGGCTCAACAAAATCACCAGGAATTACATACATATTTGCACCTGGAACTAAAATGGATGACGCTGTTTTTTCTCTTGTCTCGATCAATTCTTGCATTGAATAGAAATAGAGTGTAACATAACATGGATATTTTTTATTACTGTAATCAATGTATAAAAAACTACTTTGCTCAGTAACTTTATACTGTTGTCGTTCGTTTGATGTAAACTGTTCAGGATCGACAACATAAATGTATGGAAATTCAAACATTTGATCAATATCGGATCTTGTATAATTTTGAAATGGTAAAGCAAGTTCTTCAACACTACTACCAGTTCGTTTATACTCCATTAAATTAAAATTTAAATACTCAGCAATTTTTTCATCTGTCAATATTTCGTCTTTTTCCTCATCTTGATTTATAGTTGATGACATCATAAATTGCTCAAGAATAAATGATAATAAACGATTTCTATGACTGACCATATTGCTTATGTTTTTCGAATGAAATTTTGAATAAAAAAGATGTTTACACATGGCATATTCAAGCACACATTTTCATCTTAACTAAAGACAGCCATAGAACAAATCAGAAAAAAACGAACAGTTAAAAAATGTCACGAACTCCAGCTAGCAATACAAGCAGTGAGAGAGAAAAGAAAGGTCGGTAAAATAAATACATAATATTGCTGAAGGAGACATAAAATACTTTTCTTTTAACCACTCTGTTAAATTCAATAAACAAAGGCACCCTGTTTCATTTGACTGCTTTGAATGCACTCTTCCTGTAACTTTTTTTCGACAAATTATACGACAATGTACTCGTCAAAGTGTTTGCCACGAAACATCTTGAAATAGCACAAAATCTGATGATTACAAAAACTAGGGAAGCACTGATTTCATTTGAGTAAATTACTCTATTCACTTCAATCAATAGAAAAATATGCGTTATTCGCACTCAAAAATGAAATGGAAATATCATTTGTGAATATAATATTTTGTTCTAGTATTTGAGTTTATTCATTATTAGATACAATGCAATTCAATTTGAGTTCACTCGTTTTATTCACAATCAGTGATTGCACAATAAAGATTAAGGACCTCGAAGCAAATATTTTTGGTTAATCAAGAACATCTATACCACACAGTTTTGTTGAATCTAGAGATAGTACATATTTTAGTTACACCAATGTACGGTTAAAACTACCAGTAAAATTAGGGAATATCGGAACTACTGAGAAACTAGTATGACAAAAAATTTCACTGAAATCTTCAAAACTTATTGGCTGAAAAATCAGTTAATTGTCCAAAACCGTTGAGAGTGCGCAGTTTTCGTTTATTCAATTAGAAAAATCATTTTCGTATCTATTCATACACTGTTGATGTCCAGTAGTTTTTCGGGTCTCACAAACAGACCTCCTGACCCTCTCTTGATCCGTCAAAATCATAATTCTTAATTCGTTTGATTTAATTTAATTCATTTATTTTTTGTTACCATAATCTTTAAGTTTCTTTTTTTGATGAAGAAAAAGACAAGAAAATCTTCAGTCCAAAAACACTTAAGATAAATATACTCAAGCTAATAGTTGGAAGTTAGTCACACCGAAATTAGCACGTCTTCTAAACAACTTTAACAGTTCATACACATAGGCTTACGTTTTTCATTTAATATTTTGAGAGATATACATCTCAGATCATTTACGTTTCATACTAACTGCATGATTTGAAATATTTTACAGTGCCGATCTTTGTTTCATCTGACAAACAGTGAACATCGATCACAACGCATCCATACTTTATTTTATTATTATTTCAGTATGATTGTTCTTTATGTGACTAATGTGGGTGCATACGTAAACAAGTTCCAGATCCAGATGTTTCCAGATCCAAGATCCACATTTGCGCCGTGTTTTCTATTTTGAGTTAAACAATTGGACTTTTTCAGCGGTGCCAATGCGCAAAACGAAACACTTGGGACAAAGCAGGACGTATATGTATGCACTTTCTTACTTCTAGGCATTTTTGTATTGAGAACTTATACAATCACTTTATTTAACTGAGTTTATAGAGTAAAAGACATCTTAAATTGGATGCATTACCTGGGAAAAATAACAAGTCTTGATTCCAGTAAATGAAGTATTTC